AATTTCTGTAATATAACTTTTAAGTTCAAGAATTTTCTTAAGTGTAAATTCATAATTATTATAGGAATATACACACTGTTCCCAATTTTGTAAATAACAATAATGTTGCATATCTGCTTGAAAAACTTGAAGATTATGTTCATAATTTCTAAGTTTCCAAACGCAAAATTTTAAACATGGATGAATCATTTTAATTTCTTAGAAACATTGATAATGAAATTTATGCAGAAATTTCTGTAATATAACTTTTTAATTCTAGGAGTCGCTTAAGTGTTAATTCATAATTGTTATTAGAAATTGCATATTGTTCCCAATTTTGTAAATGATGATATTCTTGCATTTCTGATTCATAAGCTTCCAGGTTATGTTCATTTAGTCTAAGTAGTCACTTATAGAATTTTAAATGGTTCATTTTAAATTTTTTAGAAACGTAATAGGCTCTGATACCAAATATGGGGGGGCATGCCTCCGCAAAGGTTTAGTTTGTGAAAAATAAAACATGTAAGAATTAGGATAGTAATTTGTGAAAAAGAAATGATGTAGTAGTTTTTGAAATGACTATCCAATGACATGTAGTACATGTCATTAATAAATTTTGGATTAGTTAGGAAATAAGTCAAAGTGGAATAGTGTTTTAAATTTATAACTTCGGAGATAAATTTTGAAGAGTTTGGGTATGTGTAGGAGTTGAAGTGACTAATCCATGACATGTAGTACATAGCATTAATATTTTTTTAATTAGTTAGGAAATAATACAAAGTAGAAATGTTGTTTGAATTTATTTCTTCGGAAATAAATTTTGATGAAGAGTTTGGATGTGTGTAGGAGTTGAAAATTAAATTTAAGGTGTAAGGATTAAAAGTGATAGTTGAAGACATTTCAAAATTGCTAAAATTATTCAGTTTCAGCTCCACTGTAGTAATTTTCATAATTATCAGAGTCGTAATTTATGAGATAAACAGGAGTTGAATGTCTGTAGGAGTCTCCTATTTCATAATTTATGTCTGTAGGGGTTGTCCTTTATTGCAGAGCTCAAGCATTCAACATTAATCTTGTGATGTATGAGTCTTTGAGAATATGATACTAAATTCCCCTAGAAAGTAGTACATGTGTATAGGTTTCAATAGTTTGGTATGAAATATAATTCTATTGTGTAATCTCAGGTTCCAAACAATGTACTTTAAATATTGAGCTTTTAATGAATTTCGGCAAATTCTCAAATTGAGAAGTGCCTCGCAGATTAGAGTTGTTTTTCCCGAACTGCATTACAGATTGTTTGTGTTACAACTTCAGTTTCGACATCACTGTGCTGCGCTTTACAAATTTCAGAATCCTTGGCTGGCTCCCAAAGAAAGAAGGAACTGAATGATATGGTGGTCTCCAATGATGAACTGAAAAGTCATTCTGAGTGAAACTGGGAGAAATTTGAGAAGCGCAAAACAAGTGTTTATCTAGAAGTCATTTTTGGGAAATTCATTTTCAATCCCAAACTATTTTAAATCTTGATTTTAGACCATGGTTCATGAAGCATGGTGAACCACACTACTTCAAAACTTTGCCTGATGCATCTTTTAACCAAAGTTTTTACCACTTTACCCTCCACCAATCATTGTGGATTCTCCTAGGGTTTTGTGCCCCTATAAATAAGAACACTATCAGACCTTGCCTTTTGATTCCCAACCTTGTCTTCCTCCTTAAAAGATCTACAAGACATCCAAGAAAAATCACAGTAAGTTTTCATCTAAGCTTAGCCTTCCATTCCTTCTCTGCATTTCCTTCTATCCTATCTCTCTGAGAGTTTAGTATTAAGATGGTTGTGTGGTTTGTTTGAGATGTTTAAGAGGTGAAGGTAGGTGTAACTAGCTAGGGAAGAAGGTGGAATCCCAGCCAAAGAGGAGGAATTTACAAAGGTATAACCCCATGGGCTCCCAAAAGCTTTTAACACTAGTACAAAAGCAGTCATTCGCGTCCAAAGTTAAGGCTATTTCGCGTCCAAAGTTGCTTGGACGCGTATGTGGGCTCCAAAGTTACTTTGGAAGCGCAAAAACTATAATTCGCATCCAAAGTTCCTGAACTTTGGACGCGGAATTGAATTTTTTAAAAAAAACAACTTTAGGCGTCCGAAGTTCATAAACTTAAGACGCGTATTGTATTTTTTATTAAAAAAGCAACTTTACGCGTCCAAAGTTCAAAAACTTTGGACGCGTAAAGTTGTTATTATTATTATTTATATTTATTTCCGTCCTGGTTCATATCTGCCTCTAAAATTGTCTGTCCACAGAAATAAATAACACATTATGCCCTATAATTTGTCACATCCAAATACAAAAATCAAGTTCAATTCCTCATTGAAGTTCAGAGAATTCCATAGCCTAGCTAAATATACTAATTGTTTTTCCATTTTCTTAACCTATGTCCTCTATCAATAATTCAAAGAGTCAAAAGAAATACTCATAAACATACGACTCAAATAATTCAATTGAAATGAAAAGACCAGAAAAGTATTGTAAGAGGAATTGAGTCCATTCATCATTCATTAAATTACATTATTCAGTATTATCTCAATGGTCTCATCAGCCAACTTCATTTCAGACTCGCACAGAAGTGCTATCAACATTTGTTTAACCTGAAAAAATGATAGATAATACAATATAATCTCTCATTCAATACTCTTATAGCAGAATAACAAATACATACCAGTTCCTCGCTCTGAGCTATCCTCATCTTCAAAGATCAAGTGACGTTTTAGACTGTTGAAGTTGTTTCTCTAATGCGTGTCTTTCATCTGATGTGTTTGATGTGGAAGAAACCACATGATGAATTCGAGAACATGCTGCTGCTGCTGCAGCATTACAACAACAAAACATAGAACTAATTATCTCTGCCAAAATATGCCAAGAAACATCATTATACATGATTGTTAAAAACAACTACAGCAATTAAAATTGGCCTGAATAGGACAATTCTGTCATAGTATTATGAAATCCCATGACTATACTACCTCAAATTGTACTGCTCAAAAGAGTCAATTTAGACGGCTCAAATTAAAGTTTATCACAAACTAGAACTTGAATGATAAAAGTTCAGTGGTTAATGCAATCCAGAAAATGTTGATTCTATTGCAGCGCTTTGCACTGTCAAAGCATTACCCTATATTAAAAGACTAGGGAAAATATATAGTATATACATCATTATCCTACTGGCAAACAATAGAACCAATGAATATAGAAAGAAAGTTGCCACAAGTATCCTCATACCTATCAGAGTCCTGACCGTTGTAATGGTCTTCATTATCAACAGCATCATCTCTACCTCTGGTTCTCCTCCTCTCGCTTCTATCCCTGTGGTGGCGATCATGATCCTTCTTTCGACCCCTATCATTTTCTATATCTCTTTCTCTTTCTCTATCTTTATCACGCCCTCTCTCTCTCTTTCCTTGTCCGTGCTTCTAGAAGATTCTTTTTCATCCTCATAGTCACTATGCTGAAGAGTACAACAATGGAAGCTAAAGCAAAAAAGAAAGCTGTATAGAGACAAATAATACAGATCTTCAAAGCAAGGAAGCAGGACGTAGTTTTCATAAACAAACATAAAAGATAGTATTTTGCCATCAAATAGAGGAATTCACTTTATATAGTTTCAATAACAATCCCTTCGAATAGAGGAATTCACTTTATACAGTTTCAATAACAATCCCTGCAAAGTAATTCAAGTATAACAAATAGTATTTTGAGAGTAACATCAAGCAAAGAACAAAATTGGCACATCTCGTGGAAATTGGTAATATTTAACTAATTCATCAAAATACGCTTGATACAATAAACAAAATATCAACGATGCCAAGGCATAAGACCTATATATTTAAAGATACTTAAAAGTAGTTAAAATTTGCACTTGTGCCTAGGTAATCTGGTTTATACAGGATTTTTAAAAAAAATTTAGGTATGTGGAAATCCTTTTTTACAGTTGTGGCTTTGTGGATACAATTTTGTCTGATCTTTAGCATAATTGATGATAAAAAAACACTGTACAAGCACTCCAGTAGCAAGCATCAAAGATGAAGTAGAACCAAAGTCCTTACAAGCATATAGTTACAGTTTGTCAGTTCATAGTCATTTCAACCAACCCAATCCTATAATTACAGGTTGAAGAATATAAACAAGATGGGTAGTGTCTTTACCAGCTTCAGATAACTAAGGTGCTTACAAATTAAAATCCAAAAGTCACTAGAGAAAGAATAAGTTCCCAAACTACAACTTTTATGAATGAAAACTTACTTCCATGACATAATTCCAACACTTCAATGCCTTCCTTGCATGCACAACTGACACTACCCATTCTTCCAAAAGCCCGATAAACATCCCAGAAGGGAATGCAAAATCTAACTTTTTTAGACATTTAGGATTACAAGATGCTTAAGATCAAAAAAGTAATTTTTTTTTTTTTGGAGGGAATAAGAGGAATTTCAATTAAATATTTCAATATCTGCATAGTCAGCACAAATTAAGAATTTTACAATACAGGAAAAAGATAAGCATACTTGTGTCAAACTCTCCACTGATTGACCAGCTTAGTATGTAATCTGACACCAGAAACTCAATAAGCTTGTGTCTTAGTGTGCAACAATTGAGGAAATAAGTTGCAACATTATACATTTGCTATTGTGTTATAGATAGGAGTAACCACTTTTGTCAAAAAAGCCTCATCATCACCCCCATAGGCAGGTTTGATAGTCTCACCAATCACAGGGCTAACGCTTCCTGCCAACATACCATACAGTTCAAATGCCATATGCAAGGTTGAGATGAAAAATATTTAATGTACCTGAAAATTATAGCAAATGAAACACCTAATACAGTACACAGAAAATGGAGCAGGACCATAGAGAAAACTAAGCTTCTAGTTCCACATATTCTGCCGGGATGTCCTCAGTTGAAAACATATGAGAACCAAACCCATCAAATTCTTATAATATAAAAAATGAAATAGTTAACAGAAGGTAGTATCAGGCCAAAACATTCCTGCTAATACGTATAAACATGAAAACTAAACTCACCAGAGACTACTCTTGCGGTTAAGGTACTCGCACCATCTTTTGTAGTTTTTAAATAGCTTCTTCATGACTTCGGTAAGTGCACGGTCATCAAACTAATAACAGTGATGCAATTTTAAGTCATTAGATGGCATTTCACTATACACGAAGCTGAGTTTAATGGAACACACAAACCTTAGGTTGTTGATGATCAGGTTTCGGAAATTGTCTAATATGCACATTTGCCAGCAATAAGATGTTCTCTTTGATTTGCAACATTACCTTTCTGCATGTAGATCAACAGAAATGGAAAAGGCAAAAAATTCAGAATTATTTAGACAAATATGTAGCTTGAATTTCCCATTAAGCCTAGATAATCCCAGCAACAAGCACTAAAACCTGAAAACCAAACATAGATTGAAGCCAATCTAGAATATCTTCATTTACTTTCTTCTTATGGCCCTTCGGAGACAAAAAAAAATGAGAGAGAATCCGAAGACAAAAGGGAAGGGTTTGAGAACGAAGCCCAAAGAACGCTGCAATTTACCCTACAGACCACCACTACTGTTCTCGCTCCGTCTAAAATGAATTACTCTGTAATAAATAAATATATATACGTACCGTTCCACAGCCGACGATTTTCTTGGGGTGGCGACCTTGCGGCGTGGACTGGTAGCGACAGCGGCGGGGCTGGAGACTAGTGGCGAAGGTGACAGCGCTGGAAACCAGCGGCGATGGAGCTGTGCGAGGAGCGATGGAGGAGGCGATGGAGCTGTGTGAGGAGCGATGGAGAAGGCGACGTCGCTGGAGACGACCGGCGATGGAGGAGTGTGAGACAACGGGAGATGGAAAGCGACGGCAGTGGCTATGGAGACAACGAACGACGGGAATATTGGAGATCGGCGGCGGCGGAAGACGAAGTGTATTGGTTTGGAGTGGGTGAAGACGACGGGAAAGGTTTTGATATGAAAACAAAAAATAATACGGTGTCCAAAGTTTGAAACTTTGGACGCGATTTATCAAAGCCCATATATATTGGGCGTCCAAAGTTACTCAACTTGGACGCAAATTATGCTGTGCAACCGAATGCACCTTGCAAGGTGCATACGGTTGCAAAACCGCGCCGTTTTGATTAAAAAAACGCGCGTCCCACTTAAAGAAGAAATCAGGTTCGATTCCCGGCAATAGCATTTTTATATATCCAGAAATTCATAACTATATAACCACAATTTCATAACTATATATCCACAATTTCATAACTATATATCCACAATGAATGAATGAATGAAGTAAAAATCCACAATGAATGAATGAATGAAGTAAAAATCCACAATGAATGAACTAAATATCCACAATATATGATTGAACTAAATATCCACAATGAATGATTGAACTAAATATCCACAATGAATGAACTAAATATCCATAAATTCATAACTATATAACCACAATTTCATAACTATATATCCACAATTTCATAACTATATATCCACAGTGAATGAATGAAATAAAAATCCACAATGAATGAATGAATGAAGTAAAAATCCACAATGAATGAATGAATGAAGTAAAAATCCACAATGAATGAATGAATGAAGTAAAAATCCACAATGAATGAACTAAATATCCACAATATACGATTGAACTAAATATCCACAATGAATGAACTAAATATCCATAAATTCATAACTATATAACCACAATTTAATAACTATATATCCACAATTTCATAACTATATATCCACAATAATGCTATTGCTGAGAGTCGAACCTGATTTTTTTTTTTAAAGTGGGACGCGCGTTTTTAATCAAAACGACGTTGTTTTGAACCGTATGCACCATGCGCATGGTACATTCGGTTGCACAGCATAACTATTGCAACTTGGATGCCTAGTCTTTTTTTTTTTAAAAAAATTTAATTATATAATGGCATTTTAATTATAAAAATGTCACCGCCTCCCACATTACGCGTCCAAAATTTAAACTTTGCACGCGTTATTCAATTTTATTGATATTTTTTGTACTAGTGTACTGTAAGACTCTTTTAAGTCTATTTTTAGTGTTTGAAATGAGGAGAAATGCTAGAATATTGATGTGTTTGAGCTAGGAAGTGATCTATTGTTGATCTATGATGTGTTGTTTTTGATTTGCGAGTACTTGGTTGTCTGTTTTTGCCTTACAAGTGAAGAAGAATCTCACTGGTGCACAAAACAGTGTGCACCAGATGAGACACGGGACTAGCCAACGGCCCTAGGAAGGAGCCGTTGGCAAGCCCCGTGGAGGAAGCATGCCAATTATATGATTGTTAGAATATGAAAGATGATCAATATTTGTTGTCTGTGAGTGTTTACAGTGAAGGAAAATGTTAAGTGTTTGGTCTTGGCTATTTGTTTGAGTAGATGACAATTATATGATTGTTATAATATGAAAGATGATCAATATTTGTTAAGTTTTGCTAGAAAAGCATGCCTAGATGTCCATTATGACTTGTTGAGAATTTTGCCAAGAATATTAAGTGTTGAAGTGTACAGAGCATGTTCTTCTTGAATGCTAGATTACAGTAAATGATATTATGTTGAGTATTTTGAGTTCAAGTGCATGTTGAATACTTGCTAAGTGTTTGCCAATGAAGATTTGCTAAATTATGATTTATAAGCATGTTTAGACAATTATTGAGAGTTTACAATGAAAGAGGTTTTGGAGAATATGTTACAGTAAAGTGCATATTTGAGCATACCATGTTTTAAGGTGCATAAGTGGCCATTGTGAGCCAAAGTATTGTTTCAAAAACTTTTATCTATTTTGGAAATCGTTATCTAGTTGCATTGAGAAGTTATGTGCATAAGTTTGCATAAGTAAAGTGTTGCATGAGTTGAAATGCATGAGCTATATCTATATGTATTTAGTGTGAGTAATCCGAGGTTTGGAGGCCCGTTAGAACTATGTCCTTCTGGAAGAAAAGAGATAAGATCGGATAGAACCGACAAGACAGTGAAAAGAGAAAGTAAAGAAAGGAACGGACATTGCGATCCGATATGAAGTAACGAGGTAGATATTCCTGAGTTACTAGGTTAGAAACTGCCCGCCAGGCTTGGAATCCTGGTCAGGGGGTGTGCACACTGATAGTTCGATACCTGATTCCACAGAGTTTGAGAAAAGAACCAAGAGAGTGGTTCTAGGGGCGAGATGAATATTAGGCCGGCTAGATGCCGAGCCCAGATAGGTCCATTCACATTATGGTGAAGTCCTACCTCGCCCACGAGTATATGAAAGCGGGTCGTTGCGACTCTAAAGAAAGTGAGTCATTGCGACTCTAAAGAAAGTGAGCCATTGAGACTCTAGAAAAGAAGAGCAAAGCGAGTGATTGTGGCTCTAAGAAACCTCCACAGAAAAGTGGTCTTTTTACAAAAAGAGTGTATATGTGTATCTATCTATACTGAAGCATCATGTTCATTTTATTGCATGATCAAGTTAAGTGCACGAGATTGCATGTTGAGTATATGATAGCATGAGATTGCTTAGAGATTACATGATTGCACGAGATTGCATGTTGAGTATATGATAGCATGAGATTGCTTAGACATTACATGATTGCACGAGATTGCATGTTGAGTGCATGATAGCACGAGATTGCTTAGAGATTACATGATTGCACGAGATTGCATGTTGAGTATACGATAACATGAGATTGCTTAGAGATTACATGAGTGCACGAGATTGCATGTTGAGTATATGATAGCATGAGATTGCTTAGAGATTACATGATTGCACGAGATTGCATGTTGAGAATATGATAGCATGAGATTTCTTAGAGATTACATGAGAGCACGAGATTGCATGTTGAGTATATGATAGCATGAGATTGCTTAGAGATTAAATGATTGCATGAGATTGCTTATTGAGTTATGTGTTAGCATGAGATTGTTTACTAAGATATATGATGATATGAGATTATTGATAAGATAAGTATGTGATAATATGAGCTTGTTGATAAGCTAAATAATTGTGAAAGCATTCCTATTTGATAATTAGGTTGCAAGCATATAGAAACCCTATTGAGCATGTTTAATTGTTGCTTGAGTGGTTGAGAATACTTGATCTAAGTATGTGAAAAAAATGTTTTCCAAAAGTATATACTGTAGTACTTTACAGTGTCGAATGGCGTTATACTTAGCTTCGTGCTAACGGGTTTGTTTTCTACTTGTTGTTTGTTAACCCCTTTTAGGTGGACCCAGTTCGTGAGAAAGTACGGGTTAGACTAGATTAGCATAGATAGGTAATTGTAGTCTAAACTCTTGATGTTGGTTGTTTTTAGATTTGTAGTTGACTACCTTTTTGTTTTGATGGTGCTGGACACCGGGGTCTTATCCCCTAGTTTGATTGATGATTAGTAAGACTTAAATGATTTAGTTTGTTTAACCTTTGCCTGTGCAATCACCGTGAAGGGTGATTGTGGCGGTAACACCTCTATTAAGTTGTTTAGTAAGTTATTTCCGCTGCATTAGCTTATCTTTCAAGGTTAATTCTGTTAATAATAAGGTTTAAGAAAAGTGGGATGTTATAATGGTCCTTCCCTTTCTCATTTATTTTTTGCTGACGATATGGTTTTCATTGCAGAGACTTCGGAGGAACTAATCAATGTGATCAAATAATGCCTAGAGGAGTTTGAGACCTTGTCTGGACAACGAGTGAGCCTTCAGAAGTCCCACATTTTTTCTCTAAAAATGTCAAGAAAGAGGATGTCGATAATATTGCTACAAGCGCGGGGACTGGAAGAGTGGAGAACCTTGGAAGATATCTGGGGTCCCGTTGATCCACGGCCGTGTTACTCACAACATGTTTAGCCCGTTAATTGAGCGACTTCAAGGGAAGCTGAAGAGGTAGAGAGGAAAACATCTCACCCATGCTGGAATGACAACCCTTGCTCAAAGTGTCCTCAATACGAGCCCCTATTACTTGATGCAAACCATGATGATCCCGAGGGGAGTTTGTGACAAGCTGGAAAGAATAATGCGTAGCTTCATCTGGAACAAAGGCTCTCACCTTGTTAACTGGAGCACTGTTACACTACCTAATAATGAAGGCATTCTTGGCATTAGGTGTAACACCCTAATTTTTAAAACTTTTAAGCTTATGAAAGAAAGACAAATCTATTGATAAATCCCCACACAGAGCATAAACGGAACATAATAGTCGGGGTGCTATGCCACATCTAAGCTGGAGAACTTAGATGCACAGGCTAAACTAACTAATCTGAACATAAATCCATAAATTCATAATTACGTGTAAATCAAGGCTCACAGGCCGTCTAACTAAATCTAAGACTATCCAGACTAGATCCGGGGAATCCAACTAGCGCACTCCAAGCTACTAATCTGTACCTGAAAAACATGCGGTGTAACAACCGTCAGCGAATAATGCTAGTAACCCACTCCAACGCGTTAAGTACAATATAGGTAGATATAGGA